GGCGGCGGGAAAATATACGCTGATGCTAGTCTTATGCTCTCTTCCGACCCTTCCCGGCGCCACAGCGGCGCCGCACTCTGCGCACTCTGCGTGAGCGCTTGGCACCCGGCCTGGCCTGAAATGGCTGCCTCAGCCCCAAGCGGAAGCCAAGCGCAGCAAGCGCGCGCAGCCGCCAAGCGCCCCCTCTGAGGCGACCCCAAGCTCGCTGTGCTTCTCTTCGCGTTCTCAGAGATCTGGTTGTATATGGGGCCCGGGCAGTGCATCGCTCCTGTCTTTCCTCTCCAAGTCTTGAAGCCAGGAAGCCTGACCATATGTTTTCCTCACGACCTGATTGGAGCCAGAACAGCAATCGCCTGCTGCTGCAAGGCGTCCTCAAGGGCTGTAATCTTGATGAAGGCCATGTGGCTCCTGCAGATCGCATACTCTCGCATTCGCTCACATTGAAACCGGGCTCTTGCCTTCCCGCCGAGTCTTCCTCACGAGACGGCGCCACGGCCTGCGGGCGGGGACGGAGCTGACACGAAGTCTCAGAGCGAAAGCCGCCGAGCAGCAAGAGCCGAAGTTTGGGTGGGCGCGCCTCCTCCTGGACCTTCGGAGCCGCAGAAACTTCCGAAAGGCTCAACTTATAACGATCTTTTCTCGCTCTTCTCGCGGCTCGCACCCCGGGCGCCTCCGAGCCCTCGAAGTCGACATCCTCGCCCATGCGTGCCTGCAGCAGCCGGACCTCGAGCGAGACTCGAGTCGGAGTCGGTTCTGTCTCGGGGCTCGGCATGGCTTCACATTCACCGACCCACCACACTCCACAGGCGATGTCGCTTCTTGAATTGGCTTTCGGGCTTGAGCCCCGAGCCCTGCACCCATCCCTTTCTCAGCCGTTTGTTCTGCTACTGTGCCGTCTGCTGGCAAAGCACATCAACAGGTCAGAACAGCTGGAGCAATGATCATGGGATTGAAACGTGATTTTTCGCCGGCAAGCAGAATAGCGTATACGATGTCTTATCGATAGCTCAAGAATCCGTAGCTCGAAGAGCGCTCGGGGCAAGAGCTGAAGAGCAGAGTCGCAGAGAGAGCGGATCTGTGACGCCTGTGCCGGGTGCGGGGCTTTCTTTTGCTCCAGGGCCAACTTCTGCCGCATCGCCGTCTCCTCCCGGCTCAGCTCCGCCAGCCTCGCGCGAAAATGCAATCCCTGAGGAAACCCGCCTGTTCCCGCCAGTGCTCTTTCTGCCAAGAGGCTGGAGCATGAGGCCCTCCTGGCGGATGTGAGAGTCCCTTGCCCCATTGACCCTTTCTGCCCGCCTTCTGAGCATTGAAGGTTTCCTGCAGGGCAGCAGCCTGCAGGGGAAGCCAGAAAAAGACTCTACCTCTGCCCATGTCTCGTGCCTTGCGCTGCAGCAGCTGCTCCGTGTCCTCGCAAAGCGAACACCGACAGGCCAAAAGGCCATGGCAAGAAATGGCCACGCCTCGTCCAAGGCCGAGTCCGGGTTGAAGAAGCGGACCTCAGCACACTGTCGCCGGCTGACAGCTCTGTGCTGTGGAGCGGAAGAGTTCAGTGCTCCCGGCATTCATGAGATCATGCACCATTTCAAGGTCCTCACTCAGGGAGATCCCCGGCAAGAGCGCAGGCCCTCACTTCACACTGATGTTTCCTCCGGCGTGAAGTACTCGAGGTAGCGGGACAGGAGAGACCTGGCACAGGATAGCAATGGCCCGCCACATCGCTGCAACCAGTTTAGATCGACGCCGGAAGGCCTGAACCGGGCACGCTGCGCCTCAAGATCCTGGTGGTACCTCCCCATAAAAACCAGGACAGCACGCCGCCCGCCGCAGCACGCCCATCGTGACCCGCATCCGCCATGGCCCGGACATGGAGCGCAGCTTGTTCTGGAGCTGGGTGCTCTTCAAGAGCTTCCGGTCGCTCTTGGCCAGCACCCTCAGCACAGCGAAGTGAGCACGCCCCGGCGATGTGCTTCACATCGAACATCGAGAAGTAATAAGAGGTCGGCTCCTGCAACTCCTGGCCCTGAGAAGCAGCGAACCGAGAAGAGCTCGGAGCTCAAAACTTCTCCGCCTCAAACCCCGCGCCCGCCTGGGAAATGCTGGCGTCAAGCTGCCGCTGCAGGCCCCCAGAATCCTGATCCACAACTGGTTGTTGGCACCCTCAGCAAGGCGGAAAGTCCGTCCTCCCGAGAGCAGGTCTTGGAGGCAGTGAAGACCTCCAAAGACAAGTCACAACTCATCCCTTCATGGCTTTGGAGCCCCTAAAGTCCGCTGCTGCGCTTCTCTTCGCCTCGTCCACGTAAGTGCTCAGGTGCGAGAGCACAGTCCTCGAAACGGCGGTTCACCGCCTAGGCGCCAAGTCCGGCCGTCCGGCCCTGGCGCTTTCTGCGTCTGCAGCGGTCCTGAGGCCCTCGGAGATCTGCTGCTGAGCTTTCAGCTCCAGGTCTGCCTCGGGTTTCGCAAAGGACGCTCCGGCGCGGCGCAGCCGCTGAAGTTCTTCACCGCTCTCCGCTCTCCGCTCTCCCGGCGGTGAGCGGGTTGGTGTAGCCCAGCAGAGTGAAGCGCAGCAGCCGCTGGACCTCCCCAACACTCGAGGCACGGCATGCGCCGCCGCAGCGCCGCCCCTCCTTTCCTCGTAGCCGACGCTCTTCGCCAGCTCCGCAAAGAAATCTGAGCGTCCTTCGACCAGCTGCGTGAGACCTGGAAAGCATGAGTCGGAAGGGCCGCCTGGATAGCACTGATAGCATTCTGACTTTCTTCATCTGTGTCTCTCTGACTTTTGCTCTTTTCTCGTCCCACCTTCCAGCGGCTTGCTGGCGCGAAGGTGGCCTGCCCAAAGAAGTTGCTTCGTTCTTCATGGGACTCGGGCGCATTCTGCGCCTCCCTTGGGCGGGGAAGACGGCAGACTCGGAGTCACCTGCGGGCAAGCGCGCGCAAGCGCGAGCAGAGCACTTCGGCGATCTTCGCGTCGAACAGTCCAAAAGCGGCAGCCATGCCATGCGCTTCTTTCCCCGGTTGCCACATGCGGCTACACCCGGCCTCGCCCAAACCGCCTCCGGCGGGGCGCTTCCGCGCATCTTCTAAGGAGGCCTTCAGCTTCGACGCCAAACTTCGCCCATTGCCATGCGCCGCATCGCCAGGCAGCGCCAGCGCATCACCTCACAGAGCTCAGCACAGTGCAGGCAGATGCAGGCAGGACCCGGAGCTCTCCGTCTCCGAGCTGCGGCCCAGGCGATCCTCTCGGGACTCGAACATCCCGAAATGTCCCGAAGCCCACCACCATGCGCCGCTCCCCCCCACAGCCCCACGGCCCACAGCCCCCCACACTGTTTGAGCCCACAAAAAAAGCCGCGGCGACAGAGAGTCTCCAACATGCGCCCTGGCTCAGCCTCTCGATACTCCCGAGGCTGCTAAGCGAGATGCCGCGTCCAAGGCGCTCTCGAGTCCGAGTCTCGCTTTATTGTCATTTCCCTTTTTGCACTCAGAAGGTCACGACGCTGACGTGTCGCGCGACGCCTCACTTCGCTCTCTCGTTTCGAGGAGCGTCAGCACTGCTCCGGCACCTCGCGCAGTGCTGTGCCATGCTGTGCCGAATGCCTGCGAGAGAGCATCGCCTGGAAGAAGCCCAAGACTCCTGGGTCTTAGGGAACTCAGCAGAGCAAGGGCCGGATTGCTCCAGGACCAGGAAACGGGCAGCGGGCCGAAGCCCATGAGATCCTCGCAGGCCTGGCGCTGCACTGCGCTGCGCTGCGTGCGCTGCGCTTCTCGCGCCTGCCCCCCCCCTGGCCCCCGTTTGAGCTCGGCACGCGCAGTCGACCGGCAGATGCCAGCGCCTTTTTCTGGAAGCTCGGAGCTCTCTCCCTTTTTCTCTCGGGTCTCTCGACTTCGGCCTCCAGCAGCATGGAACGCGAGGCCACGTCCAGAGAACGACCTGCGGTGCCGGCTGGCGAACCAAAGGACGGAATGCAGCTGAGCATGGGAAGCTACGGCAGCTGCACGTTGTAAACTTGGAAAGACTTAGGGCGAAGGGAAGACGTTGCCTGCAGCTTCCTGGCCCAGGAACTCCGGCAACGCCTCGCCCCGGCCTTGGCAGCGGGCCCAGTCTTGTTGGACGTTCACGTCGAGGCTGCCCGGATACGCACCCGCTTCAACTTCCCGCAGAGTTCTGCGAAGCGCCCGGCGCAAAGGGCTGACCGGGCACCACGCAGTGGTGGCAAGCCTGCATTCGGCTGCATTCTGGCTCTCTCCTCTGCCGCTGCTCCTCACTGCCCCAAGCACCACCCTCCCAGCTGCCGAGCCCCGAGCTCCTGTGCCCGAAACCGGGAGCCCACGTCCTTCCGCACCCTGACCAAGGCCTGCAGGCACAGCACAGCACAGCACAGCAGCACAGCACCACGCGAGCCGCAGCGCCGCCTCGTCGAGTAAGGCCGGGTCTCGGGCTTCCGGCTTCCCAGGCGTCCAACTCAGCGGCAGCAAACACGCTTCGCCGCTTCGCTTTTTAACCCTCACAAAGAGGCGTGCGCCTCGCGTTGGCTGCGGCCTCACACCGAACACGCCGCTAGAGCTTCCAAAGTCTCAAGTCTCGCTTGGAGAGGCCTGCGGAGAAAGCGCCGGCAGAAGCGGCTGTGCGCGGCATCTTGTTGAAGCAAGCGTCACTCTGCCTCCAAGTCCAGCTTTTCGCCAAGGCTCAACACAGACACACTCTGCTTCGGCTTCTCTGCTTCTGCTTCTTCTTGCCGTAACAGGCGAGGCTCAACCGCCTCACATGCCTTAAGTGACTTCGCTTACTTGCGATGCACAAGAAAGCTCTCTTGCAGTTTCCAAACATATGCAGATGAACATGTGCAACAATGTCGTCAGGATTCAGGATTCTGCGGCATGCATCTTGTGGATTGTCTTGATATTCCGGATGCTGCTTGAAAAGGCAAATCCCTGCAGGTTTCTCGGAGACCATGGGGCAGCATAACAGAAGAAGTTGTTGCAAGAGCTCGAAAGTACTGCAAATACCAGTGGCAGGAAGCTTCCCACCTCAAAGCCTCGGCCGCGCCTTGCCAGCGCGTGGCGGCCGAGCTTTGCACTCCGTTCGACACACCCTGCGCTCCCGAAGAAGAGAAAGAGCCGGAGCCGCTGGAGCCGCCGCAAAGCACCTGACCGCGGCTCGAATGTCCGCGAAGAGAAGAGTCACGGGCGAAGACTTTCCCGCCTGGCGGAGGACCGAGGCGAAGTCCGCTTGGAGCCACCAGCCGCCGACCTGACCGCGGCTCACTTTCTCTCACTCCAACAACTTCGCACAACTTTGCAGTTTGAACCGGTTTAAACGTCTCAAGGTGACGGCACTGACCAAAGACAAATCTCCCAGCATCCAATTCAAACCGTCTAAACCTCAACGCGTTTAAAGCGAGTGTGTTGGCAGTGATGGATGTTGTGGGTCTGCTTATTTGTGCCGCGATTTTAGCAAGCACTCTCTTCTTGCAAAGTGCACATTTCATGTATAAGGGACATGCAAGTTGCGGACTGTCGCACAAGCGGCATTGTCTTCGGCCCAACCAGGTGTTCTGTTTAAACCGCGGGCGACGGGTGGCTGCCGCGTTTTACGTTGGAACTTCGTGACAACTGCGTGCGGAAGTGCTGGCCGGCGGCCCGCGTGCACGCGACAACTGCGTCGACGCCTCAGTCTGTGAAGGATGTTGCCGCCAAGCAGTCCCCTTCAGATTGCCGCACCTCTGGTACAGTGCAAGCCCGCAGCGTACTGGACCTCGGCTGAAGGAGGCCCAGAGCATTGCAGCAGGGACACTTAAGACTTGAGCCCTGCGCAGTTCCGCCGGGCGAAGAGCCAAAGGCAGCTTGGGCTTGAGCCTCTCAGCACGGTTGCCGAGTGCAAAGACCGAAGACTTCCGGGGCAAGCCCCTCGCCGAGCCTCGGTCTCAAAGCTTCCGCCACATGGGCCAAGACCTGCGTTAGCTCACGCAGGCGGAGAGCGCCAGCGCCTCTCTCTCTCTCTCTGGCGTCTCGCGTGCCCGTCAACGGTGCCGGTGCCAGGGCCGCCGGGGGTCCGGCGTCGGCCTTGAAAGAGAGCAGCGCGGCAGCGAGCCCTGCGGAAAAGGGCAGCGCCCGGGGCATCGCTCCCGCTGTCCCGCTGTGATCCGCTGTCGGCGCCTCGAAGTCCGTTGGCCGGCTCTTGCCTCGGCGACTGGAGATGGGGCCCGGGGGGTGATGACAGTGACGGCCCGCAATTTTCTCCCGCCGCCGCCGAGCCGCGCAGGGAGCTCTCGGAGGCGCTGCAGCGCCAAGCTGGCTTTTGGAGGCTTTGGCGTAAATGGCTTCTCAGGCTCTCGCTCTGGCTCTCCCTCTCTCCCCGCTCTCGGAGGGGCACCTGGACAAGACTTCCGGCTGAAGCTCCTTCTGCTCTGGAAGGCTCGCCGCTTGCAGTGCGTTGGCCGATGCCTGGGGCCTCCCACGACAAGGAGTTTCTCGGCAGCTTCGCGGCTGCGGCGGTGGCCCTGTCCTTGCGCTCTGCCAGATCTCCCTCCGCGTCGTTCTGAAGGCCTCCCATGCGCATGCTTTGCGCACACGGTCCAAGTGACCGGAAGCTGTTAATTCCGCTCCTGCAAGAACTGTTTGCCCAGAAGCCGACAAACACCGCAGGCTCGGGCCATGTTGGACCTTTGCAAACTGTGTGAAGGACCTTTGAAATCTGACCGCGTTGTTCTGCTCCCCGGACAAGTTTTATGCATCGGGAGCTTCGATTCCACAGGCAGCTGCTTTTGCGATCTTACCTCGTGGAGGAAAAAAGCATGTTTTCAGGCACAGGGATCTGTGTGCGGCTCTGCCACCAGCCTGGCAGCTGCTGGCCCGAAGCCTTGGCAGAACCAAACCTTCGTCCCCTGTTCGCCGCCTGGGATCAAACGCGCCCGGCGCACAATGCAAAATGCAAATCGCCCGGCTGCCTCTTGGGGACGAAGCTCTCCGAGTTTTCACCTTGCGACACGGAGCGATGCGCCAAAGTCCGCTGTCGGATTGCAGCGGACTGGGCGCGGACTGCGTCTGCACAGCAGCCTGCACTGGCTGGATGAAAGGAACATTAGCGCAGCAAAGAGCTTGCCACTCCCTCCGTTCTGCGACTCCGGCCACATTCATCGGTCACTGGTCGCAGGGCTGTGGCTTGCCAGCAGACCACACCACCTCAGGAGAGCCGAAACACACTCGCTTGACGCCCTCCATCCATCCATCCCAACTAATCAATCAATCAGCCCATCGGTCAATCAATTAATTCAATCAATCGTTTCATCAATTTCTCTTCCCCTCCCTCCCGCCCGCCGCCCGCTGCTTTACGTGCTTCCTCTTGGGTGGTCTCTTTGGCGGTGGGAGTGGTTCCGCGCTGCTCGCTGCGGCTACATTGACACGTTTTCCCTCCTCAGCTGGGTCCACTTGGTCCGAGAGTCGTGCATCGGGCTGTCCCTAGCGCGCATCACTCCGGTAGTCTCTCGAACGCCTTGAACGCGAAGGCCGTGCGTCTTCATGTGAGGCTTGACATATGCTGCACGGAGTCCTGATCGGAAAGCAATATTTACAATAATCGAAAACAGAACATGGGGCCAGCAGGGCCCAAATTAAAAGAAGCACACCCGCATACCTTCCCAAGAGAACTTGCTAAGCTTCCTGACTCCCCCGTGCAGCCGAAGGACTTTGTGTGAAACATGGACATGCGAGTCGGCTCATCAACTGTGCGGCATCAGAGACATCAAATGACCAGGAACTGCATTGATTGTGTTGGCTACAGCAGAGAGTTTCTCCAGCAACGTATCACCAGTTTCAGCCATCTCAGTTCGCAGAACCGGTTGGCAAGCAACACAGCACTTGCAGGCTTCTTTTTGCAACATCGAGGCTGGGGCGGTTCTGAACTTTTCTAAGAAGGCAGTGCAAGGCTTTGGTCGTGAAACACAACATGCATCGGAATGGCTTTAGCTATACAACAAGGCCAGCTAACAAGAAAACAATTTTCAGCTGGATGCCATGAAACCTCATTGAAGGGTTTTGCTTTCTGGCGTGTGTTTAGCGATCGTATTGGGTCAAGAAAGTTCCCAATAGTCTCTCTCTCTCTCCGTCTCTTCGCTTGCTAGCTTGCTTATGGACAAAGTCCAGCGAACTGGACCCGCGCCGTGGCGCCCCCACCCTCATCTCTTCTTCCGCAAGGCTTTGGAGGCTGTTAAGGCCCCCCGGCCACATGGGCCCCCAAAGGTAAAGTTCGTGAAGTTCACCTCCTTCGCTCCGGTGCTTCCTTCTGGCTTACGGTGGGGCGGATCCCGACCCGACAACACATTGGCACACTGGGGGTCGCCGCGCCAATGTCCCTTGACTCCACAACTAGAGCAAACACTCATCTTCTTCTTCTCTTGCCTCTTGCCCGAAGAAGATCCGGACGGCGCCCCCTTCCCAGAGCTCCAGCCTCTGGCCTTGCGATTGCCGGCTTTCTTGGCCTTCGCCTTCCACCCTGCGGTGAATGCCTCCTTCATGCACTCTTCGGTGACTGTGCCGTCCGAGTCCTCGTCATCGGGCACCTCGTCTGGCGCCTCCTCCTCATGGACACCCTCCTGGTACTCATCGGGGATGTCCTCCTCCTCCTCCTCCTCCTCCTCCGGCAAAGTGTCCTGGAACTCCAGCTCCAGGTCCTCTTCATTGTGGCCTTCCCCGTCCTCGGCAAGGTGAACACCGTGCTTCTTGAATCGCCCCGCTCTTTTTTGAGGGCGACGATCCGGGCGAGGATGCCGTAGAGGAAGTCCGGCTCGAAGGGGTCCAAGAGGAACGCGCCGACGAACTCGGTGTGGTAGGGATGCGCCGCTCATCCTCATGTATGTGTGCACATCTATGATGCAACGCCTATTGCCTTGGCCGAGTAGAGGTCCCTCCGGCCGAGTAGAACACATCCATTCGCTCGCGCCTGCTCAAGCTGGCCTTGCAAAGTAACTTCTGAGCCCAGGCGCGGTCGGAGATGCTGCTGTCGGGGTCAATCCGAGTGTAGTGTGCCAAGAGGCGGCGCGTGGAAGCCAGATAGGTTGCGATGGACTGGCCGGGAAGTCGCCTGTATGTGCTAAGTTCCCGCCCACATCTCTCAAACATTTCCGGGCCGGTCTCGCCATAGGACTCGTGCAGCAGCTTCCACATCAAGATGTTCCCGCCACTGACCGTAAGGTCCGACAAAGGAACTTGATCAAGAACGTCCCTCAACCCTTGGTCGACAAGTACACCAACATCGTCAGCTCCGCGGGGTCCAGCCTGTAGAGCTGCTCCTGGGCATCAATGGCCCGCTTCCACTTGAGATGTTTCTTTCTGTCACCGGCTGCCGATGGAACTTTTCGGACGCTCATATTCTCTTGCCCTCCTTCTCAGAAGAGACCTTATCTCCGAAGTCCCGGCTGAAGAGCTGCCTGCCACACTCTTGGCTCCATCTGGTCGCCCTCCAACAGGGCTTTGGCCGAACTGGCCCTGATGATCTCTCCCTCCAGGCTGTCCAGGTCACAGGCTCCCCGGCGATGCTGGCGCGCCCTATGAAGCCGCGTCGAGCGCCGTGCTGTAGCTGGGTCCGTTGGCACCTGTGACAGTGTGATGCCCACCCAGGCTCCATACTGCATAGCGCGCAGGTGAACATAGACTCCCCAAGTCACCGGGAGCAGGGGAAGGTGCGTGGCAGCTGCGCCCATTGTGTGGAGATCAGCATGGTGTTGAAGACACCCTCCCACTTCTTGGCATCCCCTTGTTCCCCCTCATAGGTCTGGATGACTGAGCCGGAGCTTGCTCTCTCTCTCTCTCTCTTCCGGGCTTGGGTCGGGCCAGCGTTCAGGGCCCTCCCCCCGTGCGCGCACTCACACCCGCTCTTCGCAGGTCCCTTGCATCCCACTGGGTGTTTGTCCCAGCAGGCTCAGCTGTGCTGAGGTGTAAGTCATAGAGTTTCCCCCGCAAGTAAAACAGCATGAAATCCCCTCCCCCCACAACAAGCAACTCGATGACCCGCCTCGGGGGCCAAACGAAAAGGCTTGCCCCCCCCGCGTTTAACGGGAAATACATTCGTCGCCCAAAGAAAGAGTGGAATCGAATTTGAGGCCTTCATCACCCGAATTCACTTTGTCGGCCTCTCAGTGGGTGTGTTAAAAAGAAACCAGGATTAGGGGCCCAAAGAGCCCACAAGTTGAGTGAGTTTGCCCGAGAAGGCTGAGGGTTGTGCCTCAGCCGACCAAACACCTGGAATTTGTCTATGCCTTTGGGGTTGCCGGGTCCCCTGTCGTAGGGTCCCCCGCCTCATCCAAAGGTGTCACTGGTCGATTTGATACGTATGCCCTCTACAAGGGCTGAAGTCAAGGCTCAGGTTAAAAGTACACTCCCCCGCTCAGTTCTTCTTGTCCCGGTAGTCGCCCTTCTTGCTTTTGTCCTTCTTTGCTTTTTCTTGTGCGTCTTCCCCTCCTTCTTGGCTTTCTTAGCCCTTGCAAGAGGATCACGTTGGAAGGTCTTCATCCCCTCCCCCTTTCCTCCTTTTGAGCTTTTGCCCTTTCCCCCGGATTGGGGTTAGATGAGCTCGCCATCGATGGAGTCAAGGTTGACGTTGTCCCGCTAGGTCACTGTGTGGTCCGCGTCGCGGTAGTATGCTCCTTCCCCCTACTGGCAGGCCACCCTCAGAGAGGGGCCGCGGTCAGGTTCCGGAGGAAGCGCTTGGAAAAAAAAGGGCCTCTTAAGCAAAACAGCGGCGGATATGCGACTCAAGCGCCGCTGGGAAAAGCACAAAAGCTCTCCTGAGGGAACAACCTCAGGCCAACCCTGTGCCTCCCCCCCAGTGCCAAGGCGGGGACAGCCCCCCAAGACAAAAGATGCGGACACTTGAGCCAAAATGGCTACTCTCTCTCTCTCTCTTTCTCTTTCTCTCCTCTCTCTTTCTGTCGCTCTCTCTCCCTGTCTCTCTCACATACACAGACAAAGACACCTCTTGCAGAATCCTCACTTTCAGGCATGCGCTTTCCTTTCCTTCGGGAGTTGGGTGGGGTCGCGGGCCCTCGGTGCCCTTCCGCAGCACGCGGCCATCAGGCAAAGGGACGTTGGAGAGGTGTTGCGGTCGTAAAGTGCCACTGCAGCCTCGCAAGGGTTCGCGGTTTAGCGATGCTTGCTGCTTTGCTGCACCCGCGCTCTGCTCGCATGGGCCTTCAACCATGCTTCTGGCAGTCAAAGAGAGTGGCGACGAGCCTCGCAGGCTGTCTTAGACCTTTAAAGCGCAGCAGAGACAGAACTCTGAAATGCGGAGTGCCTGCACACCGCGCTGTGGCAAGGGCTCGGCCCAAATTGGCGAGCTCTTGAGGGACCTCTCCCACCGTCTTCACTGCGAACCGTGGATTCCCTGAGTGCTGCACGGCCGCGCAGGCAGACCTGGCGACTCATCGCATCTCCGCGCGTGGCGCGTGGCAGCTCCTGGGCCATCCCCGCCTCAAGGCGGCTTGGGCGCACTCCGAGGGAGCTCTTGGCAAGGCCTCGCCTCCTGAAAGAGCAGAAAGAGCCGCAAGCGCAAGGCTCTTCGCTCCGCTCTTCCGGCCGCGCCTCGTCGAGGCTTCGCTGGCGATCAGGAAATGTTGGCCAAGCCCTGAGAGCAGAAAAAGGGCCCCGAATTCCCGAAGTTCCGCCACGCACTCGCCGCTCGCAGAAGCGCTCATGCTCGTAGCAGCATGTAGCAGCCACTCTCATCACGAGCACTCGGCTGGCATCGGCTGGCATTTCAACGCATCTTCGTCCCGTCACCTCGCTTCCCCAAGGCCTGAAAGTCGAAGTGCTTGCAACATCTGCTCGCGTGGTCCAGCAAAGGCAGGAGGACTGCAGTCTCTCTGCAGCCTCGCGGGTTATTCGCGAAAGTCACAGCCCAGGAAGGAAAGGCCGATCTACGAACTGTGATGCGTACCCAGCGTTCCAAGCCGATGCAGAGCCATGGAGACATTCACCGGGCTGAACCTGCAGTCTCTGCAGTCTTAGAGCCTAAAACCGCTTCCGTCGCTTTTGACGAGTCGCTGGCCCACACTCTCCCACACCGAGGGGCTTTCCAGCAAGGTGCTCCGGTGCTCCTGGGGCCGGGGCTCCAAGCCGCGCTGCTCCAGCAGCTGCAGAAGCCCCCCCACCTGTCAGCTCGGTGAAAAAACGGTCGCCTCTTAGCCTTAAGACCCCCCCTCCTTGGCCCAAAGGGCCCCCTTTGCCTGGGCGGTGCCCTCCTTGCTCGGCTGGGCCAGCGCCTGGTGCAGCCTCGCCTCGGGGGAGCGGCAAAGCAAAAGGCGCAGAAACACACAGACACACACAGAGACACACACACACACACAGACAGACACACACACACACACACACAGACACACACACAGACACACACACAGAGACACACGCACAGACACACACACAGACATACACACACACAGACACACACAGACACACACACACACACACACCCACACAGACACACACACACACACACACACCCACACAGACAC